TTAGGTTAACAACTCTTAATGCCTTTTTGGCAATGTTGTTACAGTGGGCTCGGGCACTTAGATCATTAGATATGAGTACTCCAAGGTCCTTGACAGAGTGAGGGTCATCTACAAGGTCATGTCCACTCAGCTTGTATTTTGTGTTCTCGTTCTTTTTGCCAATGTGTAAGACAGAGCATTTGGTGGTTGAGATTTGGAGTTGCCAATTGTTTGATCATTCCGACACAAAGTCAAGGTCTTTTTGAAGGGTAGCAACATTTTCTGTGGTGTTAAATATTTTTACATCATCGGCGAAGAGAACGCAGTTACTTATAATGCGATCGCAAAGATCATTTATGTAGAGTATTGGTCCTAGAACGCTTACTTGGGGGACACCGCTATTAACAGGTACAGGATTTGATAGGGCGCTCCCTATTTTGACTACTTGTTGTCTGTTTGACAGGAACACAGCTATCCAATTATGTAGAGGTCCAGAAATGCCATAGGATTTTAGTTTTTGAAGTAATTTGTCATGTACCACTGAATCAAAAGCTTTACAGAAGTCTATGTAAATTGCATCTATTGCTTTGCCCTGATCGAGATTTGTAGTCCATATGTTTTTCCAATGTAGAAGTCGTAGATTACAGGATAATTTTTTTTCTGAAACCAAATTGTTTATTAGAGAGTAGGTTGTTTGTTTTTAGGTGGAGAGTAATGGAATGGTTAATGATTGATTCCATGACTTTGCAAGTGACACAGCATAAAGAGTTGCAGGGCTAAATATAAATCATCCTTCTGCTTCAAAGAAACATTAATTCTGGCTGTTGATTTCTTCCTGGCAGACAGCTCAGTTTCTGCTAAAATGACAGGGGAAAGTCTCTGCTCTAGACTAGCCCCATTGGAATAGATATGGCTTTGGCTCTGATGCTCCCCATAAATGCTCTCTCATTGTTAAACCAAAGGAATACATGGAGTCTTCAAGACTGAGAGAGTTCAAGTCCTTTTATCTCTATAAATCATTTCTGTCACTCTGTAGTATACTCAGTCTAATCTAGGTCAGAACAAGAAATTCCCAAAACTGTCTTTCACTTCAGATTTGACCATTTGACTGACCTCAGGTCTTGACATTTATCCAGGCTGATAATTTCCATTTATTGAACTGTTTAGTTGCTACGAGTTAGACAGCTAGCAAACTATAGATGTTCATTTGAGACAGTGCTTGCAGTATTTATTTTTTAAAAAAACCTGTATGAGTTCATTTCATAATAAAGTCATTCTCTCTTTCTCTGAAGTTTCCTCAGTAACGTCAGAATATTTATTTTCTGCCCCTTTTCAACATGAGACAATTGTTTGCACAGAAACACAGCAACAAAGAGCAGAATGTTTGGCACTGAAAGGGGTTAATGAAATGAATGTCAGTGTAGGTTATGAAGTAGTCAATAAATGTGAGACCTGCTACAAAAGGGAAGCAATCCTGTGATTTATGCATGTTTATGTAGTTTCCTGAATACAGAGGTGAATAACTTGTGACACCACAGCTACATACTGCTCCCCAAACTGATCCACCTTAACTGTTCTAAGATTAGCTAAGGTTGATTATGTATGCCACCAGCTTAAGCTAAAATAGTATTAATGGAATTAAAAAGATAAATCCTACCCTTTCAAAATAATAGACAATGTGCCCCAATATCCTTTACATTAGCATGTCCTTAGTTACACACAAGTGCACTCCCACTACATACATACGTTTATCACACACACATATATATATGCACACTATGAAGACCTATCACTGAAGATCATGGACTGTAATTTATTATGCCTGTATGGTGTAGGTTGAAATATAGAATTTTTCATTTCCCAATCAAAGGGAGAGACTGGCCCAAAGTCACCCAGCTAGCTCCCATTCCTAAAGAAGGACATGGTTACTTATCTTTTAGTCCAGCAATCATTACCCTAACTACACTTCTTCTGTGTACACCTACATACACAGTCTATCACAGTGTGTGAGTATTATTGATCATAGTCTATGAATTTCTTTCACAGTCTATGAATATTATTTAATTATGAACATTATGTTGAGAATTAGAAAGCTATCAGCTATCTGAATCTTTATATGGTTTACATATAAAATAAAAGGACTATTCTCTATAAACACACATAGACATACACAAACATGTGTAGTAATGCCTCTTTTCATTTCCCCATGTAAATGAATTGCTGCTTCTTGGATGGGTGCAATTCTTATGTGAGCAGATTTCTGGCCAGGCAGTTTAAATATGCAACTGCCATGGTTGGAGAAGCAGTCCAAATTGAGCAAAATGTTCCCCAGGTGGAAAATCTCTTCTATCAACTGTTAAATCTTACTGCCAAATTAATTTCCAGACATTATTGCCAGTAACAATATTAAGGCCTTCTTTTTGCTCAGACTAGAGTATGATCCATAATGATGAATGGTGAGAGTCATCATCTAATTTATCTAGAAGATGCTAGGTGGTTGTTCATATAACATTAGATATAATTTGGCTTTCGGTACTAAATCTGTGAGTAAGGTTGATCTCAAAAAATTAAGCAATTGGATTTGAGTAGTATTTAAGATGGGAATTAATATAGCCATAAGCTTGAGTGGGAAGTCAAAAAGGCAACCTGGGAGACATTTATTTATTTATTTATTTATTTATTTATTTATTTATTTATTTATTTATTTATTTATTTTCGATTTATATGCTGCCCTTCTCCGGAGACTAAGGGCAGCTTACAATGCTTTAAGCAATAGCCTTCATACTTTTGTATATACCTGCTTAGTAGGGCTTTTTGGGGGGCCCTAAGCGATGTTCTATTTTTATACAAAGTCAGCTTATTGCCCCCACAAACCGAGTCCTCATTTTACCTACCTCGGAAGCATGGAAGGCTGAGTCAACCTTGAGCCTGGTGAGAATTGAACTCGCAGTAATTGCAGGCAGCTGGCATCTAAGTGCTACTTTAACAGCAGTTTTAGTCCGCTGCGCCACCAATTGCAAACTACTTCTGTCCTATTGCCAGGGGAACTATATGAATGGGTTGATGGTCATCAGGATTCAAGCTTGATTTAAGACTTCACCTTTAATGTCTTCTGAATGCTGTGGGACCATATGCAATCTATATAAGATTGTATGTCAGTCCAACAGATTGTGTAGTGGCTTGTGGCTTCTTACAGATATAATATAAACTTGACTGGCCGTCTCTAATCCACCAGAACTTTCTTTCTTAACTGTGTGGAAACACATTTGTAGATTATTCAATAGAAAAGGCTTGGTACATAGCTTAGACATAGGTTGCTTGCTCTAACCTATGTAATCACCAGGTTTATTTGCATCATGGTCTTCCTTCATTATGTATGGTGATAAGTATTTTCGAGATGACATGCTGTAAAGAGAAAGGCTATCCTGTCTTCAGCAATTATGGAGTCATCATTTTAAATGATATTCATAAAAGAAGTGAAAAGTGCTCAATCATATATTACTTAGGCTTCCTAAAGAAGTTGTGATGTGACAGCATCACAGTAGTTAATTATAATTACATCTCCTCAAATATCTAGGAAACTACAACTATATTTTGACAGCAGGTCTCTCAACAGTGAAAAACAGGTATCAGAATTTATATATTCTTCTGTCAATCAGAAAGACCTATTTTGTGTCTGCTTTACGACTGTTGTTCTGAGATTCATAACTCCAAAGAAAGAAGTAATATGTGATCGAATACTGTAAATTTCTTGCTTAATATAAAGTAAAATAATAGTCACATTTCTTCTTTTATACTGGGCTCAGCCTCTTCATAACCTATTTTTGAAATTGAATTGTTACAAAATTCAATTTACATTAAGCGTGTGATTCTATACATTAATCTGGGAATATGTTCCATTGATCTAAATAGTATTCTGAGTAGATTTGCACATGTTAGTGCTGTATGGCAGGATTATCTATAAGTGCATTCCTCTAAGACTACTACTGAGTCACAGGCAGTGGGTTAGTTTCAAATGTTCCACTGCAGAACCTGGAGGAATTTTCAAAGCAGTTTTTTTCAAAGCAGCTGTTTGATGAGGAGCCAATCAGCAGGTCTCCTGAGAGAAGTCCCTCCTTCTATTATAGTGGAAACTTGGATTTGAGCCATAACAAATGGAAAACAATATCTTCATTGACATATAATAAGAACTGATGGGATTCTTTTGATGTAACCATCTTATTTCTGAATGCAAGGTTGAGTTTGACTATTTAGAGTTAACAGAATTACGTTAACTACATATGCTCGCAGTCATTTTCATATTAACAGTCCCCATATCCGTGGACTGCAGTAAAGTACATCTTTAACTTAAGCGGCCATTTGACTCCTAGGAAAAAGAAGGCCCAATCCTTCTCTGCTATGCTGTATAAATGTTATCTGTCAATCCCAGCCCTGAGAAATTTATTGCTACATGACTATCCAGCATAGGAGTAGAGAATTTAACAAGTATTGAGCGTTTCCTCAATAAGCCATCTATCAACATTGCTCTTTATTCTTGAAGAGTTTAGAAAGGCAGTTCCTTGTTTTTTTTGTTCTGTTTTAAACTATCAATTGATGTTCAGAAATTCCTGGAAATTTAGAGCTGTATGTCATACTGTTTAAAAAAAAAAATGTGTAATTTCCCAACATGTATTTTTGAAAATAATTCTTTTTCATCGGAAATGTACTTAAAGTTGAATTGGCACAATTGAAAGAAAAAAATAGCATTATTCAATGGCCATGTCATAATTAAGGCACACATATGTATAAGCAGCCACACATTTCATAATGTTAATATACTTTATATTAATGTATTGAAAGACAATCCAGCCTATTAGATGTTGATGCCGGAGGGCAAAAAATTCGAAGTTGACAGTAATCATTATTTTTTGCAAATAAGTGAGTGAAGGGTTTTACTTCTATTCTGACCAACAGGATTCATAACAGAAAAATATGATTACTATCAAAGAACTGAAAAATTCTTGCCTTCTTTTTTATTACAGGAAAGCAGATGAAACATCCTCTATACATGACTTCTACTTGGATACCTCCAGTCAAAGGTTGTTTACCATCTCCCTTGGCAATTGGTTCCATTGTTAAACTCTCTAAAATAAACTCTCTAAATATTATAACATTTTTCATTCATCTGGAATTTGCCTTCCAGTAAGATTGTTGTGTCTTGCATTCTAGACAAAAAAAAAAAAGAGTCCTTGGCTTTCTATGAGATGCCTCTGTTGATCTTCCCTCTCAATATTCTTTTCTCAGGACTAAACTTATCCAATTCAGTTAGTTTCCCTTTGTAAACCTAATTTTTAAACTCTAATAATCCTTGTTTTTCTTTGCAAATGTTCTATGAATCTGCCCAGAACATTTTGTTTTGGGGAAATACCATAAACATCTTTTTGGCTTAATGGGAGAAACAGTAATAACTGTACTTATTTCTTCTTTCATTTATTTTAGTTGAGATGCTCTCAATAGCACCAGTAAGTCCATTCCTTTCTGTTTTTTATAATGTAACTTCTCATCCTTTTATATTAGTTCTGTTCTTTTTGAACCACCTATATCCTTCAGTTGTTGAATTGCCATAGTATTGCTATTGTAGTAAGACAGAATCATAGAAGGATCTCAGAAGTCATCTAGTCACAACCTGTTAAAGCATTTTAGGTAGATGGCAACTTAGCCTCTCTTTAAAGATTTGTATTTTACCAGGAAATATAAATGAGGTGGGCTCAAAAAGTCAGCATCTTCTCAAGCATATTGACATGCTATGAATCTGTTGGCAATAAAAACCAGGAAACGTAGATGAGGCAGGCTTGAAAAATCAGTCCTTGCAAAATATACTAATGCTATAAATTTCTTGGCGATATTCATTTTGCTCTTCATGGAGCCCTAATCCTAACCCTAAATAGATTTACTCCCAAAGAGATTTTCCAATGTATTTTCCCCAGAACATAGATAAGGCAGGTTCAAAAATTCAGTACCCTCCTAAGCATAAAGGTAAAGATTCCCCTCGTACATACGTGCTAGTCGTTCCTGACTCTAGGGTGCAGTGCTCATCTGTTTCTAAGCCAAAGAGCCAGCGCTGTCTGATGACAATTACATGGTCATGTGGCTGACATGACTAAATGCCGAAGGCGCACAGAACACTGTTACCTTCCCACCAAGGTGGTCCCTATTTTTCTACTTGCATTTTTACATGCTTTCAAACTGCTAGGTTGGCAGAAGCTGTGGCAATTAATAGGAACTCACTCCATTATGTGGCTCTAGGGATTCGAACTGCCGACCTTTCTGATCGGCAAGCTCAGCGTCTTAAGCCACTGAGCCACCGCATCCCCTAAGCATACCAACATGTTATGTATCTTGTGGTGATGTTCCTTTTGATCTCCAAGTTCATGGAGACCTAACCTTAACCTTAAGTGAAATTTTCCATGTACTTTACCAAGAAACATAGACAAGGCAGGCTCAAAAATTCATCAACCTCCTAAGCATATTAACATACTACAAATACATTTGTGATGTCCATTTTATACTCCAACTTCATGAAGACTTAACCCTAAGTGGATTAGACCCAGTGGGATTTTCCCATGTATTTTATGTGGGAATGTAGATAAGGTGGGCTAGAAGAGTCAGCCCCATATTTTACCATATTTTTCGGAGTATAAGATGCACCTTTCCCCCCCCTAAAAAGGGGTGAAAATTTAGGTGTCTTATACACCAAATGTAGCCCCACCCACCCACTGGGCCCCACCCTTTGGCCTCTGCCTGCCAGCAGTTACCCTTGCTGCAAGCAGCAAGAAGAAATAGCTTCTTTCAGCTTCAGCACAGCCTAATTAGCACAAGTTGATTGGATCAGCCTCCCCACTCTCAGCTGTTTTGATCTCAGCTGTTTTGCCTGGGCCTCTGCTGCTTGCTGCAAGGAGGTAAATTGCTGGAGCAGATTTTTTTTTCTTGTGCTAATCAAGCTATGCTGAAAACGAAAATGAAAGTAAAGCAGGCTATTTGCTGTTTGCTGCAACAAGGCAAAATTGCTGGGAGGCAGAGGTAGATTTCTTTTTCTTGTTTTCCTCACCAAAAAAGGTAGGTGCATCTTATAGTCCGAAAAATACGGTACTTCTGGAATCCTGATCTGTAGTTGCATTTTGCAATGGAGCACTATACAGTATAAGACCTAATAAGCATAATGTGATACAATGTAATGCAGATAGTCTTTGACTTACAACCATTCATTTAGTGACCATTCAAAGTTACAATGGCATTATAAAAAGTGACTTATGACTCTTTACAACCTTTGCAGTATCCCCATGGTCATGTGATCAAAATTCAGCCGCTTGGCAACTGGCTCATTTTTACGAGGACTGCAATGCCACCTTTTGCAACCTTCTCACAAGCAAAGTCAATGGGGAAGCCAGATTCACAGATTTACAACCATGTTACTAATTTAACAACTGCAGTGATCCTCTTAACAACTGTGGCAAGAAAGGTTGTTAAATGGGACAAAATTCACTTAACAGCTGTCTCACTTAGCAGTGGAAATTTTGGACTCAATAGTAATCGTAACTCCAGGACTACCTGTATAATGGAGGCTGTGAGGTGATAATGATGTTGATATATGATCAAATTCATTCTTTGTGTGTTTACAGTCCTTGTTCAAATACATTACCCATCCAGATAATATAGTTACAATTCATGGTCCCAGAAAGCCTGTTTTCCCATTATAGCCACACAACAGTGTTGTGTTTTCCTGTTTCATGAACTGTCAAGGTTCTTTAGCTTCTTTATGAGAACTTGGAAGTCCAGTTGATTGGGTATCACTGCTCTTGGCAGTACTGTTTGTCTCTTAGTGATCAGCATGAAATATGTCAATGAGTTTGATGAATAAGGTGCTTTATCTCATATCTGATTGGTGATCACAGGAAACAAAACATTTCATCATCCTTTGTTTCAAGCCATCATATATTAGAGACATTCCTCAAAATAAGATGACAGCAATCAATATTTTTCTTCCTGGTCCTTTCAAACTTCAGTTTCCTATTCAGCCTGATCTTGTTTTTCTTTCCTGGGGACTGAGAGTACTTGAAAGTATTTTTTGAGTTTCACCAAGGCAAAATAGTTCCTATTTTATTTCTAATTGTCATTCTTATCCACTGGACTTGTTCCTTTGTTTCAATGTTTTTTCTCTGTGGATTATTGTTTTCTCTCTTAGCTTTTATTGTAGTGACTTCTTTATTTGATCTAATACCACTTATTTTCTGTTATGAATTACTGTAAACTGTGGTCAGTCATTCCGCCAATCCTCTGTGCTTTATTTTAACTACTGCTACAAGCTTGCAGTTGCAAATAAATGCCAGGTTGTTTTTCAGGCAAATGCAAGTATTGAAGACAGCAACCAGAGAGTTTGAAGCACATGGAATGACTTTAAAGACAGATGTGCTTCGGCGAACTTCAAAGAGATTTTGGATCACAAGGTGATTACACACAAATCTGTCCCCAGATGATAACTGTTAGAATATGTCTGTATCATGAACAAGATAGAGTCATATTTGCGCTGCCAAATTGGTAACTGACAGATAGTTGACTGATTGTTAGAGAGTTAAGGAAAAAAACATGAAAAGGGGGCAAATTAAAATGAATGTTTCCAAGTTGTGCATATATTTTTCATTTACCATAACACATAGTGAAGACCTTTTTGCTCAGACTTGTGGTTTAAATCTCTTATACTAATATTAAATATTAATATTAGTATAAGTAATATTAGTATACTAAATATTATATGTGATTTCCCCATATGTGGGGAAATCACTACCCTTTGCCTGGCCAGAGATCCAAATAATTTTCTATTTACTCAATTTTAAAACTGCTCCTAAAAACTCAATAATCTCTGGTTTAATATTTTAAATGAATGATTACCTTAAAGCAAACTCAACTGATTTTTTTTTTTTAAGAATTCAGAAAAGAAAAGAAAGTATGTTTGTACCGTACTCCTCTCCTATATCTTGTAAGCAACAATTCTATAGAAAAAATAATGTCACATAATTTAATAAAGATTCTGGAAGTTATTTTCAGCTGTTGAATTTTTGGACATCTATGCTTTTAATCACTCAGACTTAATTTTTTGGTGAATGTTTTTAAAAATATTCTGTTGATTTTTATTTTCCCCTGAAGCTATATCTGGCAGTGGGAATACTGTACTGCTATAAAGTCAATTTCTGTTATGAGTTAAACTGTGGTCAGTCACTCCTCCAATCCTCTTTGCTTCTATAAACTCAGTTATTATAACAGCAATGAAAATATAATCATTTTACATAAGGTTTATAGCAGTTTTGATCATTTAAATTCTACACTGATTAAAAATACAATAGTAGTTTACAGTACTAAGGATTTGTCAAATGAATTCTTACTGTTTCTGGGACCAGGTGATTGAGAACATTGATACAGATTTTAAGTCTGATAATTCTGGTAACATATTAATCAATCATATCTACAGCAAAACACAATGACGATGATGTCAAGATGCCAATTCTGCTTTTTTTGGTATTTGTGTCTGAATAACTGATGCAAGCGTAGAAATCATAGTATTTTTGTGTCCTGATGCATAATTTATCATTTGTACTTTTTGTACCCCTTGGACACTCATGGTGCACTATTACTGATAGTAGAATCTTTTCAGGAGATTAGTTTAGCCTGGTTAGATGGTCAAATTTCTCAAATCTGTTCAACAATGGTACTTTAGAAAATATGGATGGGATTGAAAAGAATATCTTCTGGGGCTAAAACCAAACTTGTGAAGGAAATTCAGGATATAAATCTGACAATCGAACAACTACTACATTGGTGTCAACAAAGTTTCTAAGAATTATTATTTAGTTACAGTTTTTCTCCATGCCATCAGTATTCCAAATTATTGTTTTTCTCATTGGAATTTAGCATTTTTTCAACTGTTTTTCAAAAGGTTCATAATTGGCACATAGAACCTGTTTTAGTAGTGCCAAATATTATCTTTATCTGACTTAAACAATATTATCTTTATCTAACTCCAGGGAAAGAAGAAAGCTAATTATAAAAACAACAAATTTAACAAATATTAGTGGAATAGATAAAGTGTCAAAATATATTTTACATGGTCTTATAGTAACACAGGGA